AAATTATTTTTCAGGTAAGTTTAGTGGCCATACACATCACACTGACTTTCTGTAGAAAAAAAAAAATAGAGGAATGAGAAGTTATGTATTTCCTTGTGTGTCTGCTGCTCAGCTGGGTAAAAGTGGGGCAGGCACTGCTGCTGCTAATGGGCAACTTCTCCAGATGTTTGCCTTCTCTTCCTCCTGTATTATCTTTAGAAGGGAAAGATGCTTTTTGAGTTTTCCCTAAGTAAAGAGATATGTATTTTCAGTAAAGGAATGTTGGAGGAGTGTGAAGTCATGCAATTAAGAGCCCTATAAACTGCAAATCCTAAAAGTAAATGTGCAATGATTTTTTTTTTTTTCTTCATTTCTTGCTCTGGATAAGATACAAAAGAAAATAAATCTATTTTGCACTAGAAAAGAAATCCACCTTCTCCTTTTCCCAAGCACCAGCCTTGCAGATGCCTAAACCCATCTGCCTGAGTGCTGCAGCCTTCTGCTTTCAGACGTCCCCACAGCAGTGAGTTAAGACCCACTGCTTGGGTGGTGCCTTCACCACCAGCCTGTGCCACATCTTACGTAACTTCTCTTTTGAAAGTTGCCGACCAGGGTGAGTTCTGCGCAGCTGTCAGGAGAGGGCACCAAGTCCAAGTAAACAGGGTGACTCCATTAGGGCTCCAGAAGGGTAAAGGTAACAGTTTAAGAGGCTTCCCCAGGATGAAGCATCTCCTGGTGCACCCAGAGATCTCCACCTGCTTCTTGGTGCCCATGAGACCTCGAGTTCCCAGACCTACGGTTTGTCAGGGTCACCCCTCAGCTCTGGGTGGGTTTTGCCTCTGCTGTGAAAGCGTCCCTGGAGGTCTTGCAACCAAAGTCCTGCTTCTCTGGAGCAGGGAGTGCCAGCAGCCAGACTTTAGTCTGGTTATCTTCCTTCTGCTGTGGCAGATCCTTCATGCCCTGGGGAGCTGAGTTAGCTGTGCCTCCCACCTCCTCTCACTCTGCAGGGCAGCCACAGCATCTTCTGGTCCTCCTTCTGCAAAACTGTGAGGAAGTGAAACGTGGAAGGCTGGGTGAACTCTTCTAAATTCTTAAGTTTGCCTGGAAAATGGAGAAGCTGGAGAGTCACTGCAGCCTTGCTGGAAAGACCTTGCACAGTGACTACAGGTCGGGAAATTATTGTTGGTATGAATCTGATCATTCTTGGAGCATCCTAGCTTGTGGCCCCCTCCCAGGGCATGACATCTTCTCAAACCAACCCTCTCACAGCTTCCTCCCTCCTGGCTCTTGACAAAAGTTGCTGTGACTCGGATTCGAACCGAGGTTGCTGCGGCCACAACGCAGAGTACTGACCACTATACGATCACAGCACACAAATCCCGCCACCTACTGGGTCCTGCCACACGCCAGGACCACGGGGAGGAGAGTCCCTGCACTGTCCCCTCCCCTGGCATGGACACCCAGCACAGCCTGGCCAACAAATCCTGTTTAATTAAGGAGGCTACAAATGGACTTGGATGCTGCTGCTCAGAGCCTTGGCAATCTGAAATGGGGCCCTAAATTGTGCAGCACACTGGCGGTGCTGGGATGACACCCTGGAAATAAGACTGCTGCAAAGGACAGTGCTGTTCAGGGGCCTTATGCAGTGGGGCCATCATCCTATAACACAGCAAAGTCAGGGTTATAATAATTCAGCTAAATCTAAGTGATACAAGAGGTGAGGAATTAATTAACTTTTTAGCATCATGTGCGATACAACAAATTCGAGGGAATTCAGTTAAAAATACAACAGTGATCTCCATGGGGAGCTGAGTGGTGCTGTGGGAAGGATCCAGTCAGGAGGTCTGGGTAATCCAGAATGTCCCTGGCCCCTGTCATCCATCACCCCCAGGGTCCTACTGCCACCTCCCTGCCTGATCATGATCCTCCTCCATGTTTCCTCCCCAATTTCATGCCTTCAGAATTGTACTTTGGTGACTCCAGAGTTGTATATTTGCTGGCCCTGGTGCAGGTTGGGCTCAGTGCTGGCGGTGAAGAAAGGACTCAGTGAAGGTAAGAGCTCCCTGCTCCACATCCAAGGCAGCCCACAGCCCCCTGGCTACCAACCCACTGCTGCCTCCTCCCCATCCCTCCATGTATGCAGGATATACAGTGGGGGATCCCTGGTACCCCCGTGGACCCCATGTGCCCATTGGGTCCCATACCCCACTCCATCAGCCCCACAGTGAGTCCCAGAGGACCTGTAGGCATCTGTTTTGTTTTTAGTTTGAAACTAGGAAGAAACACTAATTTAGTGTAGCAGTTTTGGTTCACTAATTTGAAATTTTTTGTTGTGAGATAGAATTAGGAGGAAGGCAAAATAGGCTTAACTTTAAATGGTACAAAGAGAAACTTTATTACTAGAAACTGTAAGAAGAAAAACAAACTTAGAATAAAACTTTAGACCACTTCCCCCCGCCCCTTCTTTTCTTTCACACTGAAAACGTACAGAAAGCAGCTTGGTCAGTTTACCATCACTAAAATAGTCTTTTACCAATTCACTTGTGAGAGGAGATTTCCCTCATCAGTCTATGGAGATTTCTCCACAAGAAACAGTTTTCTCATGGCCTTGATGTTACAGTGATCAGCTGCCCGGCAGAATGGAATTCTGATTACCATGTAAACATTTCTTCCTCAATTGACAGTTTTTTCAGAACCATTATTGAGGACTATATTAACTATGGGGCACACTTTAAGGATTATAACAGTTTAAACAAAAACTCCTTTCATTTTTGAAAAAACAGAGCTTCTTCTTCTTCCCTGGGGAGCAGTAGGGCTTTTCATCTTTTCACTGTTTAAACTCAGGGGATTACAACCACTTCAACATTTACTTACTCCAATGCCTCTGCTTATACCTACGGTTAGAACAGTCACATCCACCCCATAATATTTTTATGTGTTATAGGGAAATAAGAGTTTCTTCTCCATAGCTTAAAAAAGAGAAATTTCAGTCCATGACTCTTCTCTTTCTCTCATTTGGGATTTGACTCTTCCTTCTGTTACTTCGGTGTTTTCATGTTGTTTTTGTGTGTATCACTATCTTGGTTCTTTTTTGCTTTTTTTTTTTATTCAGGAGAGAGAACAAAGTATTTATAAAGTTTTATTTTGGGCATTGAAAGAGTTAATACCTTGCCCGGGCAGCAGAAGGTTTTGTGATTTTTTTCAGGTGGGGCAGTCGGAGTTATTTATAAAGAGTCTTTTAAGGCCACGCTGGGGCTGGCCAGGATTGTAGGGCTAGCTTGTGATGGGTTTTCTGGCTCCATGGCTGTTTTTTGGCATTTGCTGCATTTAATTCTAGCTGCGGGCTGGGGGTTTTCTCTCCACGCTGCCTAGCAGGGAAGGGTGAGGGGAGGCCTTGCCGGAACCGGGCCCGGCTGTGTCTCCCTCAGGCCGTGTGGGCGGTGGGGCAGGCCCGGCCGCCCTGGAGCTGCCCCGGCCTGGTGCCAGGGCAGGGCTCTGCCGAGCCATGGGCTCCCTGGCCGTGCCGGGGGTTAGGATTAATCCCTGGGGGTTAGGATTTTACAGACAGCCCTCCCCTCTGAGAAGAATGTCGCATTTGTCTTTACAAACGAGCTGTGGATCTGCTTGTTGATAAGACCACCACTGAGAGATAAAATAAAAAAATAGGATGGATTCCACTGGTTGATGAATGGAAAAAGTTATTTGCCTTTACAAATAAACTGTAGAGCTGCTGATAAATGAAATTGCATATGGAAAGATGAAAGAAGCAACGGGGAAAAACTATGAAATCTGTAAGAATTAAAAATTAAAAGGGAGGGTTATACATTAGAGGGGAATTTCAGGTATCAGGTGCTCTGGAAAGTCTGTGTCTCTCAAGTACCTCAGCCAATGGGGAAGGAGAGAGGGAAAAGCAGCCGGGAAAATAGGATAAAAAGGAGGCTGCGTCCTCCAAAAATTTGAGATCCCAGGAGAATGTCCCACGGCCTCTCCCTTTATTCGAATAAAGCAAAAAGGACTCCTCTGTCTCCTTTTTGGACATAAACCTCTGGTGTTTGTAGATTAATTTTCCTGACACCTCCCTCTGGCTATCAGGGCCTTAGTTGAAAATGGGGCCTGGCAGCTTCCCGAGCCTCAGAGCCCGCCTGCCCCAGCCCGGCCCGTGTGGAGAGGGCTCGGCTGGTGTTACCTTCTGATAGGCCAGAAGGGAAAGAGAGCTTTCCGGGAGTTTTTTGTTTTCACATATGTGTTTCACAAAGATGCATAAACTTTCTCATTGGTGTAACAATGTGTTAATCTTAAAAATCTGACGCTGGTTGGTTTTTGTCAGGTACAAGGGAGACTGCTCAGGTCTCGGCAGGTAAAAATTTCAGGAAACCTTTACGAACCACCACAGCATCTCTGCTCATCACGGAGCCTCCAGTGCCACGTGTGCCCCATGAAAATGTACACAACACCAAGAGCCTATCCTGCCTTCACACACCAGCCCAGAACAGGGAGCACAGCAACCAAGAAGAGTTATAGACAGGATTTAACAGGAACGCAGAATAGGTTCCCATCCCTGAGAGGGCTCAAGACTACACTTATGGATTTCCCACTTGAGGCCCAGGTCTTCATGGGTGTTTTTAACTACTTTGATTCTGTTGGAGGAGCATAGCAGGGCATAAGCAAGCCAGGAAGATCAGGTCAGGTTTTGTCTTGCTGACCTGTGTGGTAAAGGAGCTAACGATGAGCAATGCTCTGCTTGGATTTGGAACTGACAAATGAGGAAGGACTCACTGGGAGGAGTGCCTGAGTCATTGTAAGGTGGTGCTGCCATTCTGAGGGAGAGCTCTGGAACAAGCCCAGGGACAAATTCCTATCAGGATGGTGTCCAGGTCCCCAGTTAGACAAGAACAAATGTTCAGACCAACCTAGCTCAATGATATGCGGAAATAACTGAGAAGAACTCTCAAAGCATCAGTGAAGTCTCTCTCAGTGATAGTTAATAGAAGATCAAAGGAAGGAGGCTCACACAGTGCTACTTATTGTTTGTGAACAGTCATTTACTAAGGGACAGGCACAACATGGTGCAGTAGCAAAGGTCCTCACAGTCAGAATCCTGAATCAGCATCTCACCAGGGTATGACCTTCCCTTCCCAGTCCAGGAAGGAGCCAGTCTCCTTCTCAGAGATGGAGGACAGCACCTTCAGCATCCCTTGTACGCTGTCATCCACTGTCAGGGGAGGCTGTGGGGCAGAGGGAGAAAAAGTTCTGTGCTCAAGGATCTGCCTTGAAATACAACATCGTTCTGGGTAAGAAGCATTCCCAGTCGCTCATCTCCCTCCCTCATGTGCCTCCACGGTATCTGCCCAGGAGCTCTCACAAAGACCAGGATGAGACCCCAGCAAATTCTGCATTCCTAAACGATGTTCTAGACCATGGAGAGCAGTTCTCTTACCTTAAATGATCCTGCACCCCCCATGTCGGTTTGCACCCAGCCGGGGTGGAGAGCGATGCAGAGGATGCCGTGCTCCTTGTATGCCAGGGACTGGCACTTGCTCAGCATGTTCAGAGCAGCCTGTGGGGAGACAGGGACGGGATGGTGGTGGGATGAGAAGGCAGGGCTGCCAGGGGACAAGCACAGACCCTACAGCTGGGGCAGGGATAGGACAGAGGGGGCCACTTCTTGGGGTGCATGATGCTCCTTCACTACCCCTGTGTGGATGCTCAGCGTAGTGGAAGCCCCATCAGATTATGCCCCGCTGAGGTAGGACCCACCGGCAGGCACATAACCGTGCTGTGACGGATACCCAGGGATTGAGAGGAGCTCAGTCACAGCGTAGAGAGGGGCACAGACTGAGGGGGAGGTTGGAAGGCAGTGTGATCATTCATAGGGGAAAATGCTTGGGCTCACCACTAGCAAACTCTGGCATTACCTTGCTGCACCGGTATGAGACAACTTGTCCAAAATCCCATACATACATATCCTCGATGGAGCCTGCATAGCTGGACATGTTGATTACTGCAGCCTTGCTGCAGCTCAGCCCTGAGCCTGGGCTCTCCTGGGCAGCCTTCTTCAGCAAGGGCAGGAATGCCTGTGAGAAGACAGAGGGGACAGGAGCATACACGGACATGGCACAGGGCAGGGGAGAAGCTACTTCCAATCTGGTCAACAGTGACACCAGCCGTGGGGAATCCTCTCTCTTCTTCCCTGCCAGGCTCCAGTTCTTGAGCTCCAGCCCCTGCTTCTGCGATCTTCTCATCAACTGAGACCCCATCGGAGCACCAGAACAGGAGGGACTCCTGTCCCTCCCACTGGCCCTCCACACCCTCTACAATGTCCAGCTTGAGGACGTAATGAAGGAATCTAACTGGAGCTATATGTTGTAGTGCTCGGGACTCACCTGGCCCATCAACATGGGCCCAATCGTGTTCGTGGTGTAAACCTCGCTCATACTCTCCAGTGTCTCATTATCAAGGGATTTTGGCCTTGCAATTCCAGCGTTGTTGATGAGGAGGTTCAGCCCAGAGCCCCCCAGGTGCTCCCCAACCTTGGCTGCAGCTGCCTTGATGCTGGAGGGATCAGCGACTTCTGCAGAGGCAACACAGGGGAGGTCAGAGCCTGTGTCCCCATGG